AATGGCCGGAAATCATGCTTGCAGTAAACACGAGGAGGCAAGGAGGCAAACTAAGGAGGAGGCAATGGACGCCAACGGTGGGTGACGTAGTGAGGAGCAAGGAACACCATTTATCAAAGGCGGCCGAGGCGCTCGCAGCAATAAATCCAAGGCATCTCCAAGGATACTACGGGGCAACTTTAAAGGAACAAAGAAATACGAGAACGACATGAGCACAAAGGGAGCAGACCAGGGCGTCCAAAGACTCGATGGGGACTGATCGGAGAACACGCATCAGCAGTCTGCCGAAGGAAGGGGGAAGACGGCACAGATCAAAGAGCTGTACCGTAGACCTGGGTAGGAAGGAGAGGACGAAAGAAATAAAAAAAAAATATTGATTATCGCCCACTACTGGTCGCGTCCAACCAAAAGAAGCCGTTTACCAGTTAACCCAGACACCAGAACGCGAAGACAACATTGAATCTGAAGCCTTAAGCGTAGTCTTCCATGTTCCGGAGCTCTGCGATTATCAGGCTTGCCGACGAGTGAAGGGCGAAAGAAAAAAAAGGATGAGAGAGAAAAAAAATATTTAAGAAATTCGGAAATTTATCCATGAAATTTGCAAAATCACCATAAGCCAGGGAAGGGGGCGTCTCGATAGGCGATGGATTGGCACTGGACGAAAATGCGATCGATGGGCACACGAAAATGGAAATATCGGCAAAAGGTGGAAGTATCGCAACGAGCAGGTGGCAACGCCGCACCGTCGGTATCGATAGTCGATGAAATTTCGATCACGCACGGTTGGTGTGACCAGACGGAGGAACAGTGGAAAGGTGTAGGACGCAGCAATAAGCAGCGTGCTGGGGATCGATAGCCCAGGAGTATCGATGTCCCAGTGGAAACATGGGAAATATCGGCGCGGGAGATTTCAAGTTGCTACGAGAAGGATGACCAACGCTCTAGAAACTCAATGGAGTTGGCAGCGTCGAGGGAGCATCGAAGGAGCAACGAGGGAGCGCCGCGGGAATCGGAAGGAGCATTACAAGGATTCGAAGGCTAGGATATGCAAGGAAACGCCGGAGAGTAGGAACGAGTTTTAAATGTTTCCCGAAGTAAGGGGGAATTGTGAGGAGTTGAATAACTCCCCACAAGTCTAAGCAGCAGCAGCAATAGATGGCCGGCCGCTTACCAGATAAGCGGCGAATTCGCGTACTAACGGCGCCGCGAGGAGCGGTTGGAGAAGAAGAGAAATTTGATTCCAAGGATGGAGAACAAGAGAGTTTGGAGACCAAGGATGAAGGACAAGAGTGTTTTGAGGAAAGGATGGAGAACAAGAGAGTTTGGAGACCAAGGAGCGGATAATGAGAGAGTGGAGACTTGGCGGGCAGAGCACGAGTGCCGTGTGCGAAAGGGGATAATGGAATTCCACCGGGCTTTGGACTCTGCCGTGAACTTTGGATCGGGAGAAGAAGTTCCACATCTCGGCAGTGGAGCGGCACACAGGCGTGCCACAAGCATCACGGGAGTCAGCGGGACGGCAGCAGTGGGCATAACATCGGTTGGAAGCGGTACGTGAAGGACAAATGTGTCAAACAGGAGCCACGGACTTTGGACCCGGAGTGGAGAGATTCAGCGGGCCGTGCGCAAAGGGAAATAACGGTTCCCGGAGGCCCTATTTAAGGTCGCAAGGCGCCACACGGCTAGGTCAAGGCATTGGTCTATCCCTATCAACTAAGTCCTGGCGTTACGCCTGGAGAATAACGAGTATACCAAGCCAGAAGGGAGAGCGGTCAATCGGTACGGTCTCGAGTGGAGTTGTCCAGGAGAGCCCTACGGTTTCGACTCGTGAGGTCCCGGATCGGCGTACGCCCGAAATCCCGAGTACCAAAAGCCACGCTACGTCTAGCCGCGCAGCCGACACCGCCAGTGCGCGAGACATTGCCCCGGACAATAAGCAGAAGGGTGAGGCTAGGGTGGAACGTTCGATTGCACTAGGCGTCGAAGCGAAGTAAAGCGCGAGGCAGCTTCCTGGCGTTCAGCCCGCGCGGGATGAGCTGAAACCCCAGTGGGACCATCCGGGACAGAGCAAGGGCCAGGCGGCGTTGTGTCGAAAGGAATGATCCTGGAGAGCGCAGCTTCTTTTCACCGTAGTCTGAGAACGGTGACGCTTCCCTAAGTCCGCACGGCTGATACCGCTCGCGAGTCCGAGTCGTCACAAGCAGTCACCGAGTCGACGCGTCAGGGACGAGCAGCGAGCCAGCGTCTTCAGCGAGCCGCAAGGATCTTCAGGGAGCTACAGGACTGGAGCACCGAGTCAACAAGGCTAGAGGTCATCGAGACAACCAGGACCGTCGGAAGTACCGAAGGCCACAAGTGGAGAGTCAAGGCCAACCATGCTACCAACTACTAATAATATACCCGCAATAAATCCACTACGAGCCCGTAAATTCTGTGCTTTCTCTCTGAGCTACTGGACGGTCACGTTTATATAAATTTGGTGGGACGAACACACAATCTACTGAGCTACCGAGCAGACCACAAAAATCAGTTCGTTAGAAACCCTTAAAACAAACTTTTATAAAAAGTACAATTTTACTGTACTTAACAGTCATGGCTATTCCATGTATTTGAACCGATGTAAATTTGAATTTTCAAAGGATCCAAGGACTTTAATAACTTTGTTAATGCTTAGCGAAAGTCTTCAGTACTGCCATCATAGGTACAATTAAACTTTACCGATCCCGAAATTGCAGATTTAATTGCTGAATTCTCCCAAACTACTTATAGTTCTGTTTCTTGCTAATATTAGCTACTTTAATAGGAAAAATTGTATTTTTATACACGTTACTCGTACAGTAAAAGGGTATACTTTATTCGTCAGAAAGTATGTAACAGGCAGAACTAAGCGTTTCGTACCCCATAAAGTATATATATTCTTGATCAGGATCACTAGGCGAGTCGATCTAGCCATGTCTGTCTGTCTGTCCGTCCGGATAAACGCTGAGATCTCGGAAACTAAAAGAGCAAGGCTATTGGGACTTGGCATGCAGATTCCTGAGTTTCTTACGCAGCGCAAGTTTGTTTCAGCAGCGTGCCACGCCCATTTAAACGACCACAAACCACCCAAAACTGTGGTTCCTACAGATTGACCCAAAACAGTTTGCCACGCCCACTTTAACGCGCACGAACATTAAAAAATCGTAAATATGAACGCGGATATCTCAGAAACTATAGAAGAAAGAGATTTAGATTCCGAAGCCTTGTACGCAGTGCAAGTTTGTTACGCGAAGATGCCACGCCGAATTTATCGCCCACAAGCCGCCCAAATCTGTGGTGCCAACAATTTTTATGCCAGATAAAAAATGTTAACTGAAATGTATTAGTCTTGTTAATACTTATCGATTGATCCAAAAAAAATTTGGCACGCCCACTCTAACGGCCACAAGCCGCCTAAGCCAGTGGCGCCCACAATTTTCATGCTAGAAAAAAACAAGGAAGAACGCTATAGTCGAGTACCTTGACTATCAGATACCCGTTACTCAGCTAAATGAAGATATGCAAGCTGCAAAGCGAGATTAAAATGCGCCACCTACCGGCGGTAGACAGATTTAAGCGTTATGGGCGTTAGAGTGGGCGTGGCAATTTTTTTTTTGATCAATCAATAGGTATTGACGATACCAATACATTTTAGTTAAAATTTTTTATCTAACATAGCAGGAAAATTGTGGGCGTCAAAGGTTTGGCCGGTTTGCGGGCGTTAAAGTGGGCGTGGCAAACTTTTTTTTGGGTCAATCGACAGGTATTGATGAAAACAATACATTTCAGTTAAAATTTTTATTCTAGCATTAAAACTGTAGGAGCCTCAGTTTTGGGCGGTTTGTGGGCGTTAGAGTGGGCGTGGCACTCTGCTGAAACTTGCGCTGCGTAAGATGCTCAGGAATCTGCACGCCAAATGTCACTAGCCTAGCTCTTATAGTTTCCGAGATCTCAGCGTTTATCCGGACGGACAGATAGACGGACAGACGGACATGGCTAGATCGACTCGGCTAGTGATCCTGATCAACAATATATATACTTTATGGGGTCGGAAACGCTACCTTCTGCCTGTTACATACTTTCCGACGAACCTAGTATACCCTTTTACTCTACGAGTAACGGGTATAATGATTACTGAAATGTATGTGGGAAAATAAAAGAAGACAAGGAGATGTCATGTGTACAACTGCTTTGCTTAAACTTATTTACATGAAGATATATTCAAATCTGTTAACATAAAATTATGGCTTCCAACTCTGTCAAAATATTGTATTCGATACTGCACGAAAAGAATCGTCGCATAGAGTACTCGCTTTTGCTTTCAGTTTTTTCCGAGGAAGAAGATGTAATACTGAATATCTTATAGTTTTTCAATTAAATAAAGTCATCAAACGGAATTGTTGAGATTATCTTTAATCCAATCACCGGCGATCCTACAAATTTGGTGTCAGAAGTGGGATTTACTTGAAAAAACTGCAGAAACGGACGTGCCACACAGATTCATTCAAATCAGAGTGCGGATAACATTGATCTACGCGAAGGGAAAGCAGTTCACTGGCAGATAGTGTACACCTGAGAGGTAAAGCAAGGTGGGCAACCAGCGAAAAGGTTCTGCAAGCGAGAGAGGTGGCGTCAAAATCTGGCTTTGGGAAAGCGCAAATTGGTTTTTCACCCAATGTGAAAAGCAGCGTCACCTTGAACACATGGTGTGTCGTGCCAAAGAAGGAAGACCTGAGACACCCAGCAAGCACCAGAAGTGCGCTGTTCGCAGAAGAGGAGAGTGAGCGATCTGAATCTTTTATTTTTGTATTACACCAAAAAAAAAAAACCAAAAGTATACACTTAATAAGCGTTGTGTTAAAAGTATACTAAAGTTAGTATAAAAATGTAAGTATTAACTCAACACTAATTAGTTTCAACTGTATACTTTGTAGTGTAAGTGCTCTACCAAAGAGTATAAAGCGTAAACCTGTAGTGTTATTTTTAAACTAGTCATATTTGACTATTTAGTTTATAATTTATACTTTTGGTTTCAACAAAAACTTAATGTAGTATAAAGAAAATGTAGTTTCAAGTTATTACAAAATAGTTTCATGCCAACACTTTATAGTATTAAGCTTATACCAATTATTATATGAGTGAGACTCAGTAGTATAAATAGTATACTGAACATTAAATAGTTTTTCATGGTGTGAAACTAGGACAATAGCGAATATTCGAACATATATTTTGGTGTAAAACCAGGACAATAGCGAGTATACGAACACAGAAAATGCTACCGGAGTTGGCGTTGTTTGACGCGTTAATGATTATTGTGATGATTTATCTCGGTGAGTTTGGTCCCGCATTTTTGTGAATTTTGTGCCGAGTCAACATGTAAGTAAAATATTTGTTCTAAAATTAAAAAAAATCAATATTATATTGTCCCTGTTGGTAAATTTTGTGTGTATTGTGTATTTTCAGATGCAAGTGCTTTGCGCACGCGTACAGATGCATAACGCGAAGGAGCTAACGAACTCGACGTACCGCCTTTGTGCTGTCAGAACAGCGAGTGCCTTCCGGACGACGCAGCGCTCGTCATTGCAGGCCAAGTTCCCCTATGTGAACTGGTGCGGGAGCCACAGAACCAAGACCGAGGTGAAGAGGAGTGCCAGGATGCAGAGCGTCGACAACTGGCAGGCAGCCTGGGACAACTCCAGCAAGGGACGCTGGACGCTGGACGCAAGGGTAAATAGGAAGCACGGCCAGGTAGATTTCTACCTCACGCAGGCGCTGAGTGGACATGGTTGCTTCCGAAGCTTCCTTAAGCGCTTCGGACACGACACGGAGAACGGTTGTCCAGAGTCCGGCAGTGGGATTGTTGAGGACGATCAGCATGTCCTATTTTAATGTCACCGCTTCGGGTCTGATCGCCAAATGCTGATGAAGACCACCGGGGCAAGGGTTCGGCCAGCGACGGCAGCCTACGCAGCGAGTGTACTGCGAACGCTGCTTCGCATCGAGAATGAGAGGAGAGAAGCTACAGCCTAGGTGGCTACCATTGCGCTAAGCAATACCTTGCGGTGATACCGCGCAATCACGGCCCCTACTCTTGTTGCTTGTACTTATTTTAGTCTGTATATACGTGTTAGGTAAAGGAATATAAAAAAAAACACGAAGGAGCTAAAAACATGAGTTTTGTGTTGCGCAAAATATGAATATTTATGAAATAATAACAAAATAATATGTCAAATAGTAATAAAAGAAAAACAACATACAACTTGATTTTATTGGGTTTGGGATACCACGAAAAACAAAATAGTATACATTTTATACTACAGGCAACGGGGAAATCGTATAAGTTTTATACGAAATAGTATAAAATGTATACTAACGATTTCGATAAATAGCTTAAAAAGTATACTACGGCTCTCTAGATTAGTATAATATGTATACGAAATAGTATAAAACGGAGACTACATAGGATAGCTTTTATACTAAATAGTATAAAAAGTAAACTATCAGCATAAATGTCAGTACACTGAGTGAGTATAAATTGTATACTCGTTAATTTAACTTTGATAACTTCGAAAGTTTCAGTTTAATACTTTCGGTGTCATAAGGTTAATACGCATCTTATCAAGATATTTTTGACACTCAATAGTTTAGTTTTAATGTACGAATAGTTTAGTTTCTATGATCATTTTTTTTTGGGTGTGGCTACGAAACTGCCAAACGTATTTAGCTCGCTGTTACAAATGCCCAATAGACATTGTTTTCGTTTATAGGCTCGATATTTCCTAGCTTCTCAACGACGTCATCACGGATAAGGCAGAGATCACAGCCTGTATCAATCAAAGTGGAAAATCGAACGCCATTACAGGAAATTTCCATAAATATACATTTTCCACTGCTACTGATATGGTTCGACATGGAGTTTGCACTTTTTCCCTCCTTTTTTTTAGCTATTCTATTGCCTGGACAATTCGATGTCTTGTGGCCAAGCTGTTCGCACCTGGCAAAATGCGAAGGATCACCACACTTAAAACCTTTTTTTGGAATGCTGTTTAATCACATCAGGTTTTTTGTCTTCATTGGTATTACGAGATTTAGCTGTATTAAGCAATTGAGGGCGACTACAGCGAATTTTCTCATATACCTTTATTTGCTCCTTCAGTTCCTGCAGAGTCCTGGTATAAGTTGCTTTTGTTGGCTCTCGAGTCAGGTATCCCTTCGATGAAATAATGTAATTGCACTACGCCCTTCGTCTGATTTGGATCTTGGGTTGTGCATTGAAGTTGCATCCCCGTAATCAGATTCCTCATCCTCAATTTCGTCAGCCGATAAGTTGTAGTGGTCGAGAAGTCTGTCCTGCAATGTTTGCAATCTAACGCTTGTAGCTAAATTAATCTGTGATAACTGCCCTTTCAGCTCGTTTACGTTAAGCGACAAAATTTCTTCCCTCTGAATTCTGTACTCGGTGTTACTTTCTGCTTACATATAGAAGACATTTTTCATATTATAAAAAATTCTTGTACTTAACTTTGTGGTTGAATCTTGTAAAATATTAGAGTTTAAAGGTATGATACACCCAAAAAAAAATGATCATAGAAACTAAACTATTCGTACATTAAAACTAAACTATTGAGTGTCAAAAATATCTTGATAAGATGCGTATTAACCTTATGACACCGAAAGTATTAAACTGAAACTTTCGAAGTTATCAAAGTTAAACTAACGAGTATACAATTTATACTCACTCAGTGTACTGACATTTATGCTGATAGTTTACTTTTTATACAATTTAGTATAAAAGCTATCCTATGTAGTCTCCGTTTTATACTATTTCGTATACATATTATACTAATCTAGAGAGCCGTAGTATACTTTTTAAGCTATTTATCGAAATCGTTAGTATACATTTTATACTATTTCGTATAAAACTTATACGATTTCCCCGTTGCCTGTAGTATAAAATTTATACTATTTTGTTTTTCGTGGTATCCCAAACCCAATAAAATCAAGTTGTATGTTGTTTTTCTTTTATTACTATTTGACATATTATTTTGTTATTATTTCATAAATATTCATATTTTGCGCAACACAAAACTCATGTTTTTAGCTCCTTCGTGTTTTTTTTTATATTCCTTTACCTAACACGTATATACAGACTAAAATAAGTACAAGCAACAAGAGTAGGGGCCGTGATTGCGCGGTATCACCGCAAGGTATTGCTTAGCGCAATGGTAGCCACCTAGGCTGTAGCTTCTCTCCTCTCATTCTCGATGCGAAGCAGCGTTCGCAGTACACTCGCTGCGTAGGCTGCCGTCGCTGGCCGAACCCTTGCCCCGGTGGTCTTCATCAGCATTTGGCGATCAGACCCGAAGCGGTGACATTAAAATAGGACATGCTGATCGTCCTCAACAATCCCACTGCCGGACTCTGGACAACCGTTCTCCGTGTCGTGTCCGAAGCGCTTAAGGAAGCTTCGGAAGCAACCATGTCCACTCAGCGCCTGCGTGAGGTAGAAATCTACCTGGCCGTGCTTCCTATTTACCCTTGCGTCCAGCGTCCAGCGTCCCTTGCTGGAGTTGTCCCAGGCTGCCTGCCAGTTGTCGACGCTCTGCATCCTGGCACTCCTCTTCACCTCGGTCTTGGTTCTGTGGCTCCCGCACCAGTTCACATAGGGGAACTTGGCCTGCAATGACGAGCGCTGCGTCGTCCGGAAGGCACTCGCTGTTCTGACAGCACAAAGGCGGTACGTCGAGTTCGTTAGCTCCTTCGCGTTATGCATCTGTACGCGTGCGCAAAGCACTTGCATCTGAAAATACACAATACACACAAAATTTACCAACAGGGACAATATAATATTGATTTTTTTTAATTTTAGAACAAATATTTTACTTACATGTTGACTCGTCATAAAATCACAATCATCATTAACGCGTCAAACAACGCCTACTCCGGTAGCATTTTCTGTGTTCGTATACTCGCTATTGTCCTGGTTTCACACCAAAATATATGTTCGAATAATCGCTATTGTCCTAGTTTCACACCATGAAAAACTATTTAATGTTCAGTATACTATTTATGCTACTGAGCCTCACTCATATAATAATTAGTATAAGCTTAATACTATAAAGTGTTGGCATGAAACTATTTTGTAATAATTTGAAACTATATTTTCTTTATAATACATAAAGTTTTTGTTGAAACCACAAGTATAAATAATAAACTAAGAAGTCGAATATGACTAGTTTAAAAATAACACTACAGGTTTACGCTTTATACTCTTTGGTAGAGCTTTTACACTACAAAGTATACAGTTGAAACTAATTAGTGTTGAGTTAATACTTACATTTTTATACTAACTTTAGTATACTTTTAACACAACGCTTATTAAGTGTATACTTTCGGTTTTTTTTTTGGGTGCACGTAGCAGTTTCGTAGACAACGCTTGTTTGGACTTAAACTTTCATGTTACCAGCAGAAATGATATCAAGTACTCAGCAGTCATCGGGAATAGCGTCCTGAAGCTGGTGGACTTGATATTCTAAGAGAAGACGAAAAAATTTCAGCAAAAAGGGAACCATAACATCCAGGAATCTTTTGCCAAAATGAAAACAGTCTGAGTTATAGACATTCCAGGAATACCCCGAGATCGACGTCGCTTACCTGGAGAGACCAATTGCTAAAACTGTAAAAGATTTGATCAACAACAAGGCAGAGAAGAAAAAGGACAGTCCAATTCAAATGAAGATATTGCTTAATGGCGAATACCCAGTCTCTGAACGCCCTTAACGCATTTCACCTGCAGACAAGACAATTATCGACAACCAGGTTGAGAAATGATTAGAAGAGAAGATTGTCCAACCAAGTTCGTCTGAGTATGCCTCACCGGTTGTCTTGGTACCGAAAAAGAATGCCAGCAAACGCCTTTGTTGCGACTTAGACGACCAAACGCTGGGATTGCCAAGGATCATTTTCCGATGCCACTTATAGACGATGTCATTGAAAAACTGCAAGGAAACAGCTTCTTTACAACACTAGACATGGTGCAAGATGGTACACTCGCAACATACATGGATGATCTCATTATTCTCTCTAAGAATGTAAATGAAGGAATACAAAAGTTAGAGCGTGTCCTAAATCGAGCATCGAAGCGACAGCAAAATGCGTCACATAGACGCCTTAAGTCGAGTTTCATGTCTTATGTTGAAAGACACTCTGCATCACAAGTTGCAGGGAGCACAGTCGCAGGATGAATGGGTTCGGGCAGTAATGGCCGCCCTCGAAAACAGCACAAATCGCGACTTCTTTATCAAGCATGCCATATTGTACAAGAATCCTGTCAAAGAGTTGATCGTGGCGCCGACATTGATGGAGGAAGAAATCATTCGTATGGCCCATAAGCAAGGACATTTCTCAGTAAAAAGTTAAAAGTTATCGATCCACTTACTCGTCAAGCGGCAGTGTTTGGGAACCCTAAGCGTATAATATCAGATAGAGGGGCAGCGTTTATTGCAAGCACATTTGGGCAATACTGCGAAGAGAACGGGATACAGCATCCCTTATGATAGCAACATCTAATGATAGCTACTGGAGTTCCCCGAGGAAATGGTCAAGTGGAGCGAATCCATAAAATCGAAATCCCAATGTTTGCTAAGCTTTGTCAAGAAAAATCGACCAGCTGGTATAAACATTTAGAGGTTGTGCAGCAACTAATGACAGCACACCCCCAAGAAAAACGAAACTATCACCTATCATGACATTAACAGGGTTTGAAATGAGGACTAAGAAACTATCCGAGCTTAACACGTTCCTTGAAGACGCCACTATCGAAGAATTGGACCAAGAGGTAGAGTCCGTTCGTATGGAAGCGAAGTATAACATCTCCAAAATTCAGCAAGAAAATCGTAGCTTCTTTAACAAGGGTCGTAAGAAGGAGGTGAACTAGAAAATCAACAAGCTCGTCGCCATAAAGAGCACACAGTACGGCACCGGCTTAAAACTAAACCAAAATTCTTTGGACCTTACAAAGTAGTCAGGACTCTTCCCGATATGACGTGGAGAAAGTTGGTGACCTTGAAGGTCCAGGGAAAAAATCAACCGTCGCTGAGTTTATGAGGAATCCTCAGTCAGACTCTGCAGAAGAACCATCATTCGAGCCGAATGATGATTTACGATGGCCGATTGTGGGAAAAGAAAAGAAGACAAAAGAAGACATGTCTACGACAGCTCTGCTTAAACTTATACTTTGTTTACATGAACATATAT